TAATATCAATAATGAAACAAATGAAAAAACATTAGATATATCAATAAAAGAAATGATTGACTCAATGAATTCTTTATTAGAAAAATTAAAAACACATAAAGCTATTAAAGCTGATTTATATCAACAATTAGTTGCTGATCCAAGTAAAATCAAATTACCATAGTTATATTTCTTACCAAATATATCCAATGTAAGAAAATATCTCTCGTTTACTTTTTCGTTTTTCATTTATTAATTTTTTGTTTATTCTGATTCATCTAGGAAAATGACATTTCTTTAGTATCTGTTATCACATCACGATCTAGTGCAACATGGAAAATTGGCAAATATTTAAATCAATTATTACAACCATTTACTGATAAAATTTTACATTCAACAACATTTGCTGATGAAACTGATTTTATTCGAAAATTAAATCATTATGCTAATACAGAACGTCGTCTTCGTCCAACAACACTCTTTTGTACAATTAAAATAACTAATTTTTATACATTAGATGAACATCAAAATATGCTCGATGTTATTGGTTATTTTTTACACGATAATTTAGCAACAAACAAACTTGAATCATTAACAATTCAAACTATTCGAAATCTTTTATATTTATTTCTTTATAATAATATCTTTTAGTATAAGGATAATATCTATAAATGTTCAAAAGGTAGTCCAAATACCATGGCATTAACAGAAACATTATCAAATATTTATTTATTTATTTGTATGGCAAAAGAAAATATTGAAAGAAATCGATCAAAACATAAAATTTTTTGGAAGGTAATTTATTCTTTTAACATATTTCTTTTAGAATTATAAAGTTGTTTAATTCGAATTGAATATTTTAGATATAAAGATCAAATATTTTTTACATGGGATAAATCAAGTGCTATCGAACTTGAAACATTTATAGAAAATATTCGAGAAAAACATTGGAACGTACGTTTTCAAAAATTCATTAGTACAAATGTACAATTTTTGAATGCTTCTATCGAAAATCGACAAGGTCAATTATATAGTCAAGTACATTGTGATTTCAACATGTCACGTTATACATTACCATATCTCTTGGGTCATTCAAAATCAGCTCATAGTGATTGGTTACGAACAGCTTTAATTCGTGCTGTATGTTATTGTACATCGGTCGATGATTTTCAACAAGAACGAATTGTTCTTGAATTAACTTATCTTATTAATGCTTATTCATTATTATTTGTTGAAACTCATGTCAAACATTTTTTCAATTATTTTCATGCTCAAACTATGCGATATTCAAGAAGTCAAAGCACATATGATAAATTTCGTCAACAATGGTTTAAATTCGTTGAACAACGATATGAACTTTCAGAACAACTTGAAAAATTTAATAAAAATGGTCGTTTAATTCAATTCAATTATATTTATGATTTTGATTCAAGATGTCGATTCAATCGAGAATTTTATCGACTTTGGTCTCATTATTTTCAAAAACATCCAACTCTATCAGAAGAAAACTCTGAAGTTATCCTATCAACTAAACATTTTCATTCATTAAATACATTATTAGCAATAGACAAACCCCCATATACTACAGTTCAACAATGACGACTTAAGTGTTTCAACTATGTTATACTATATTAATTCAGCGTTGTTATGACACGAAATTTTTTGTTCTTGTATATTTTGAATTGTATAATATTGACTTACTATCATGTTTCTTTGTTTGTTTTGTTTTTTTGAAAAGAAACTTCTCATTATTTTCCATTTCATAGATAAAGTTTATTGAAAACCTTTCTTACTTAATTTCATCGTGTATTTCAATATAGCATTCCATTCTTTTTCTTCAACAAAACAAGTAAGTTCTCTATAAAAGATATAGAGCAAGCTGAATTTTTGTTTATCTAGAAAACAAAAAATAATCGTCGTCACTCAAAAGAAAAATGAATCAAAATGCTCGAAAATGTGAATTAAATATGGCATTAAGTATTTTAGCAATATTTAATCCATTAAATGATTATTATATCTATCATATTAATCAATCAACATCTTCTAGTCTATTACATAATTTAATTGAGCAAGCAAGAAAAACAACTCGATTCACCATTGATGCAGAAGATGATTATTATACACATCAACCATCATTGATTCAAATTGAATTCATAAAATATCAATCTATCGTACTATTAATTCAAGTACATCATTTACCACAAGTAACATCAGTGATATTTTGGTTAATAAGATCGCTTCTGAAAATGATCTTAAATTCATCTAACTGTATATATTCATGGGGTGATGTCAAGAATGAATTGAATAAATTTATTTCATGTGGACTTTTTTCATTTGACCAACTCGAACAAATAAATAATATAGACATACAAAAACTCTTTAAAAAATAGCACAATAGAAAAGTTAAACATGTACGTATTCGTCTTTCGTTAGATATTAATAAAAGACTACGCGCATATACACAGCAATCCATCGAAAACTTTCATCATAAATGGTCACTTCAAATGGCTGTAGCTTATGCATGTCATGAATTCCTCGATAAAAGTCAGACGAAAAGTAGATGGAGTTGAAATCTTGATATAAACAATGATAATAGGTCTTCTGTAATGAACTTTAAAGAAAATAAAATCATTCAACAAATGATTCGATATTCTGTTAATGATTGCTTGGCAGTGACTAAATTAGTGATGGTATTAAAACTTGATCGAATAGAAATATAAGTAAATGAAGTTGGGATAACTGATATTATCTTAGTAATATTTCTTTTCAATACTTGTTTAGATGGGAAAACATCAACGATGGGAAAAGACATTAAACTCTCTGGTCATCTTTATAATTGTTTATGTATATTTTTGTTTTTTTTTGTGTATAATACATATTGTCGAAAACAAATATAAAATAAAGAAACATGTAACTTTTTCATTGTTAGAAATTCTCTAAGAACTTGTTGTTTATAATACAATAGAATAAATTTTCTTTCTCGGTTTCTTTTAGATATCATTTCTAAAACAATTATCTCACTCCCGAAACTATGTCTGGTGGATCACAAGAACAACATCAATTAGTCGTTCCTAATGGTATTGAGTGTTTAACTATCAAGTCTAAATGGATCTCCGTTTCTAATTCTCTTTAGATAACTCCAGTTGAACATGTAAGAGTGATGATCAATATCAACAATTCTTAATTGAGGTAAATGATCAAAAAAACATATGATACCAAGTAAGTATATTCGCTCTTGTTTCAGCAATTATCTCAGTCATCAAATCATGCTATGAGAACATCATTGACAACAAATGAAAATGAAGTTAATAATTACAATCAACAACTTGGAATAAGAGATGTGAAGATCGTTTTGTTTGATTGTATGAAGTGTTATGTTAAAATTCCACGATGTAAGGTACAGATTTATAAGATAGAGAAAAAAAAAGCAATTTCATTGAATATTTTCTTCTTAAATTAATGATATTTCAGATTGAACAACAAGTATATGATTCCAATTCTCATACTCAAACAAATGTTGGTCGTGAAATACAAGAGTATCGAGAAGAACAAGAAATAGCATTACAAAAACAAGACAATCAAGCAACATCAGAAATTGTAGAAGACAAAGAAGAAGAAAATGATGGTTTCATAGATTATTTAGATGATTACAATCCAATGAATACTCATATCATTATTGATTTACCATGGCCACAAGCAATAGAGTGATACAATAGGAAATGATCTATTTCATCACATTTGTACTTATATTCTTCCTATGCATTATAATATTTCTTCTGGTGATAATGTTAGGCTACAGTGTAGACGTTCTAACCATAACAACGTTTTTTTCTTTATGTTATCTATTTTTTGTCATTTTCTTTCTTTTATTGTTGTACCTATATTCATTATATTCTGTAGTTCTCATAGTTATTTATTCTTTTTCTAGATACATTGCTATATCAGTGCACACAAACAAAGATATTTTCAACGTATATTATACTCTTATATTCACTATTGCTAAAAGAGCTAAATAGAGAAGTAAAATATTTAAACATGAATTAATTTGTAATATGCATGCATACTAATGATTCAGCTCTTTAAACAGATATGAATACTGAACAAAATTCGATTCTTGCATCTCAATCAGAAATATCAAGTCTTCAAGATACTTCTACTAATGTATCATGCACATCATCGATAGATTGAGATGCAATCATATCAATAAATGTACCTTCTACAATAGGAGGAACAACAGCAGCCATTGTTCCATCATTCGCACTACCAGGAGTTGATATAGTCATATATGAAAAAGGCAACGACTGGTATTCAAAGTTACCAGACGATCGTTGAACTTGAATGATGTATAATATAACTAATATATTGTATTGAAATAAACTTGTGATAGTTTATTTTTCTTTTTATAATATCATGTGAAATTATTATTATATTTGAAAGGATTTGAACATAAATATGTCTCCTTTTAGTTTTCTAGATTTAAATCTATTATTTTCTTTT